TGACAAAATGGTACGTAAATAAACAGTTCAAACCGCAGTGTCCATAATAACTGCCAGTGCTCAGAAAGAGCAGAGGATACCCGTACAGCAGATAAGAGTCTTATTGTACGACTTCCCTCTACGTACAACTCGACACCTTTCCTATCTGTAACCTTGGGTTATCCACGTCACACAGCACTTGATGAAAGAAATGCAGATACGGGTTTGGCCAAGTCACAACAGACTTTGTCTAAACAATTCAGTCAGACTCCAAGCATCCAAAGTGTGCCTTTCATTACCAGTGTTGTCTTATAAATGTTTGTTTGCCTGTGTCAGGGTAGTGCAGGGGGTTAATTCCTCCCTGTGCCCCTTCCTCTTACAGTAAACTGTGAGATGGACAGAAAACATTTGCGGAGGCGTGCAGCAGGAAACAGCCAGACCCTCTCTGGATTATATTCCCATTCAAACCTTGGCAACTGCAATTAGAGCACCGGTAATGGGGAAACAACATGCAACCTGGCAACTTCACCTTGTATCCCAGCAATCCCTCCCTCCCTTTTTCTGTTCCTGAGACATAGTTCTGTCCAGCCTGAATAAACAGGTCTGTGCGAATATTGCATCTGCAATAAAGTTGATAAATAATTGCCACAAATAAGGACTGCCACAGTATCCAAGCAATCTGCAAGCCTGTTGCCCTGCTCTGGAGGCCGTGGCGAAAGTTGGGAATTGATAGACCCTTCAAGTCAGGAAGTAACAAACTGTAAATCTATCAGCGGAAACCTTTAGATAATGTGTTAGGACATAAATCTCCATTTTCAGTCATACCATAGGTCAACCATTGAATTCAGGTCCGGTTTTGAATCTTACATAAAAAGTTGTTAGTCATAACCCGCTACATTTCCATCAATGTTACTGGCAGATGTTTATGACGAATAAGCACTTTTGGTCTTTTCCGAATGACTGGTCTCCTGACGGGTACTATGACGTGTTGAAAGTGAAGACATTGTACAAAACAGCCCTAAGATTGGCAAACAAGTTATAAGACCAGCAATTTTGTCAAGATCATTTGACGAGCACATTGCAAAAGCAAATCACTTCTTTCTCATGCTATAATATGATATATCATACATATCATATTCTCTACATTCAGAGTTGGAGAGCTCTTATCCAGACATATAACTTGGATACCAACATCCGTTCTATTTTTAGCAGTAAGTTTTTCTAACCCCACTTTAAAGCTTATTCATCTATCCGTTTTTCTCCTATATAGATAGTCATATTTCATCCAAATCCGGAAGTATAGCATTACTACTAATACTAGGTTTTCCCTTGTGAAGAAGTTTTTTGTTAAAACTCAGTCACTTGTTATAATACCTACATCCCTAAATCTCTAGATATGCTTACTCAGCCAATCAGGACATTTGATCTCAACAACAGAACAATGAAGTATTTTTCAAGGGTCACTTTATCTCTGACATTAATGCTGACGTTAGCTACAGGGTCTAAGGTCTGGCTTCAATGGGAAGATTTATATGGGAAATGGCTGTAGAAGCTAAGCAAACATTGTTAGAAACCCAGCTCTTGTGATGTTACCAAGCAGCACACCAGCTTCTCCTGCTAGCCTCAGCACAAACCTTGTAATTGTATTGTAAGATGAGAAGTCCGAGGCCTTCCTAACCTCCTTAGCCCATTTCTAGGGACCACTTATATCTAATCTGCCTAATATTGTCTCAGATTAAGATTTGGTAAGTAAACCTGAAGCTTTCTGTACAACAGCTTATTTGTGAGTGATGTAGAAATGGCTTCACGTGCTGCCATCTCAAAGCTTATGGCTGCAAATACAGTGATCACCTTATGTTGTGCACCAGTCTAAGATCCATGCATGGATGAACACAGAAGAGGAAGGGAGTTGAAGGAGAAAAACTCAGCCCAAGGTTGTAAACATCCCGTTTAACTCTCCTGGAACAAATCACCCTGTAGAAAGACAAGGGGCAGGCACACTTGAGTCTGCGGGCTGACGTTAGCGATGACTTAGTCTGCCACTTTTCCGTCCTTGGGACCTGTAACCTGACCTACAGGGGATAACTAGATGTTGTACATGGCATTTCACCAGGAGGAAAATAAGGTGTCTCCTTTCCACAAAACATCAACTCTGGGGGATTTACAATTACACAACATTCTTACCATGAAACTGAGTGTGAAGAATTGGATTTGATGGAATTTTTTGCTGTGAGACATGCAGGCAGGGGAAGCAATGATTGCCATGAGCACCCATCATCACCCAAATGCTCATACCTGTACATTAAAACCTGTTTGGTTTGCAGGATGAAGAGGACCATTGTGTGAGGCGAGCACCTGAACAAGACGGAAATCCTCCTGAATCAAGGATGGAAATTCAATATAGAGATTTACTAGAGCTGCCCAGCTGCCTGGTAACCTTGTAGGGCTTATCTCATATTGATTCATTTTGCAGGACCTGGGTGGCTAGGGTATTCCCTTTAAACATAGCTACAGGAGGGGGGGGAAAAGGCATGGAAAACTAATTTGCTGTGGAATCTCCTCTTGCAGTCTTGGAGGGCCCTTGTCAGTATTCATTAGCAGGTTAGCCAACCACTAATTTGGCCTTTTAAAAGGTTACATGTCTCAAGAGAGGGGGTGAGGACTGACTGGGTAACAGTGTTTCCATGAAAAGCGCCACCCAGCAGGTCAAAGCAAAGTGCAGCTACAGTGCTTCATAGAGTTCATAGCCAACAAAGACATCCAGTCTAGACTTACCATGGCCATCACTGGAATACTGATGGAATTCTCTGGAAGAGTAATTTTCAATGATGGATAAAACATTGAATTTGCCAGAGGGAATCACCCAATGCTAGGTCACAAATACAATAAGCCCCATAATATAGTCATTAATGTGCAAATCAAATTTATGACCTGCATGAAAATTTGATTCACCTCATTTGCACTGTCATCCATAGATAGTACATGTACATAAATGCTAGACTGAAAGGATAAATACTTTCAGAGGATAGAAAAAACTTTTTATACCCTCACCCAAATATCTAATGTTTATGGCAATAGCATAAAATTGAAAGTGATGAAAAATGCAGGCATGTTTGCTCACAGATATAACAGACATCTACATGATTAGGTGACCGAACTCTCACAATTCATGATTTTGGATTTTCAACTCGTCCGAGACACATGCAAATGTGATGGCGTCGCTTTTGCCTCTCCAAAACAGGTGTGAAGCCTGGGTCCAGCTTTTTGTGTACATTCCTGTCCAATCATACTGACAAAATAAATACGCAGGTGATGACCCTCGAAATTGTGGAACAAAAATAGCAGCAGACTGGCTGACCACTAACTAGCAATCATCTTGTCCCTTGGCTCTAGACTGTGTAAAAGGGGATTAAAACCTTCTTACAGCAAATTAACTAGAGGAAAACAGGTTTTCTTAAACCAAACTGTTACTACATGTTAGTATGTAAAAAAGAGAAAAATACTGTCATCAAGTTTTAGAGAGATTGTTTTCAAGACAGACTGAACCTTTACCTCAAAAATCCCACAGGCCAACTCACAAAGGGCACCATTGATAAGGATTATTTATAGCTTTGAAAACAAGGCCTCTTCTTTCTCACCCAACATTGAACTCTAAAAACCTGTGGTAAGACACCCTACTTTAAAGTTTAAAAGTAGGTGTAAAGTGTAAAACAACAGAGTTCAGAAGAACACCAGTCTCTTGTTTGCCCTACCAAGACAGACAGGATGCAATGACTTAAAATCTGACAGAAACCTTTTGACTTTCAAACATAAGACCATGCCTTGATACAGGCAAATGGGGACAAAAAAAGAGAACAGAGGGGTTTATTTTTAGACTTAAACAATGGATAGTTTATGTCTGAAACACCATGCAACACTCTGCTACACTTGTCAAGTATCTAGGTGACACCACACATTGACCTGCAAATTCTTCTGTGATAAAGGGACATTCTGGCTGACATCATGTGGATTGTAACATTGTATTACCCGACAATTCCCCATCAATGCTGGGGTCAATCTGCCAGAGCAGGGAAGCTTGCACCCTGCTATTGGAGTGCAGGGAATTATGCCCACTTGACTTGTAATCAAATCCAATATGTTCTGAGTGGCTGCCCGTGCATTTTATTGTGAGGACAGTCAGAATGCTGTAGTTTGCCTTGCCTTTTGTCTGCCTTATGAGGAACAGGCAATAAGCACTGAAGAGGGCTGTTCTCAATTTTCTCCCTGCTTCTTGAGACTCTCACCATCCCTGTACTGTTTCTTCAGGTCTGTAATGAGGACCAGAAGATCGCTGGTGCTTATCAGCAGTGCCATATCCTCACAAGCTTGCCCAAACATCCCAGCATTGTTCTTGGCTAGTCTTTCCACAAAGGTGGAATTTACCATCATTTGTGCTGTGCAAATTGGGGTTACAAAAACTCTGAGGAACGCTCTGAAAGGAAGGGGAAACGGGCTGGATTCTGCAAGGAGGGGATTTAACCTTTTTGTGACCTGTAAATTTATCTTCACCTTGAACATTGTGGTGGAACAGGGGCCAGTACCCAAATGCCAGAGTCACTTGAACACACTGCAAACAAACCCAGTAAAAGAAACAGTCTGTTCATTAAAGCTGCGACCCCGAACAATGGGGGGACCTTGTAGATGTCAATATTCTGAAAACCTGCCTTGAAATATCCTGTAATTCTATCCAATCAAATCCGCTGTCCCTGCCAAGTAAAAACACTTGGAATGGGGTGTGGAAGCTGTTGTGTCTTGCCTTACAAAAGCCGGTGCATACCAAGAACAACTTTCATTTCGCCTGAGCTGGAAGAATTTGGGTCGGAAAGGGTCGGAAAATTATAATGCCGTGACTTTGAAGCTTGTATGTAGTTGACATAAGGAGAGTATCAAACAGATGATGTGTAAACTTTCCGTGTGTTCTCGGGACGAGGTGCGAACTGCAAATGTCTGGGCCAGGCCAGACCTCTTGTGTGTTCACCTACCGTAACGTTGTGCGCCAACAGCCCCCGAGAAGTCACGTAAAGCCGCAGGGCCTGGCGCTTCAGCTCTACCAGCCGGGCGTTGCACTTCTCGCAGCAGATGCCGGCCCCTGTCCCTCCTCCTCCCGCGGCCCTGGATCGCCCTCGCTCCGCCGCGCCGGACTGCGCCTTGCGGTCCATGGGTTGTGGTAACCGGGAAGCTCTCGCCGCCCCGGCCTGTGGATCTATGTTTTGAAACTGCAACACACACACGCAAAAAAATGCAATCGCTAAAATTTACGTGAAAATAATGAGCAAATTGACGCGCAATTCGTATGATAATCAAGGACGACACCACCAACAACAAGCCACGCGGAACTCACGGTGTGAAGTCTGCGGCCGTCACTGCTCCTGTCCCGGCCCGCTCCCAGCCCCAAGCCCGCTCCGCCTGCGCTCATCTTCTCCGTTCATGTGCTGCGAACAGTCTCCTGTGGAGGCGGGACAAAATACATCAGCAACTCAGTCAAGTAGAAAACCAGCCACTAACTAAGCTCATGAAAATTCAACAGTAAAATCCGCCTGGGACGGAGTGGAGAGAGGACGAACTGTCCATCACCAACGCATTGGGGGAAATCCAGACGATGTTATTCAAACTGTCCCGCCCTCTTACGAGCAAAACCACCCGGAAAATGGTAGGGAATGGCGATTATCGGGTCTTCCAAGCGGTACTTATCGCGGAACCATACAAAAGATGGATCTGCTAAGGGAATAAATGATTTCACCATTTCTGCTAAATCCAAGCAGTACGGCAAACTCAACTCCGATGAGAAAATAGTGGACAGCAGAGGAGCAATTATCGTCTGAGTTTGGACCATTCTATGAGCTGCGCCGGGGAGTCATGTGGCATGATAGACAAAAATTTCAAAGAACCAAAACAGGTATACAAAGTCATACGCTACATTTCATACTAAATTATAAGATATATATTACAAATATAGAAATCATTGTACTTATGACTACTTTGTCGGTTCTTGATTATCAGATATTTCAATATAAATCTTATCACCCCCTTCTCTTAATGGGATGTTCTAAATAGGACTAACCAATGGATAACTGGACGGAGTAGGCGACTAGGGACAAACCATTACGCTCCAAGAGGGTGGACCGATCGGATCAGTTGTAATAAAAATAGTTCGTCTGTTAGTTACTAACGTATATTTCTGTTTTATAGTTCTGAATACATGATCGTGGGCGTCAAAGGGAAGAAGAAGAAGGCGAATGCAGTTTGTTGTTGCTTCCTATTGGAAAATTCAGTGAAGCATAATATCAACATTCAGTGAAGCATAATATAAAAATTTTCCGACAAATCATGTCAATATTCATGATGATGATGTAAAACGCCGCTGAAACTTTCGTATTATAATATTCCAATATATCAATGCATTAATTTAAAGGACAACTTTACAATAGTTATTGCTAACTATAAGTTTGTTTCTTCCTAAAATATATAAAATACTGTGATCCTTGGAGCAACCTGGCAGAATTTTTTTCGCATCGCTACCATGTTCAGCAGGAAGAGAGCTCCTGACCGTATCATCGCTGAACGGTCCCTCCTTCTGATTGATAGGGGGAGTTGCGTTTGTTTACAAAACAGCATATCTGATGTGAGCCCAGGTGCCTGCCGCCAGTCCCTCAATAGCGGCAGGACGGCCAGTATTTTCATAGCAAACAATTGTCTTCGACATGACGAGCGACCTAGATTTTTACAACTCATCTTGCAAACCCACCAGCGCAATATAAAGACGGCGTGTCACAATAGAGAACACCTTCGCACCCGCATACCAAAGTTTGACGCAAGGCGTCCCGGGCTGCGTCACCAAAAATGTTCGCTATGTGCGTTTTTCGGGAGGAAGTTGTTTAGAACATCATCAAATACAAATAGGCAAACGACAAAATTACGCCACAGTACATAGATATGTCGGTGAGTGCAAACAAACGCTTGTGTAACCAGGAAAAGGGAATCAAGGGGAAAATAAGCTTATGACACCTCCATCCTTTTCTGACACGACTCCTTTATCATCAAACTTCCTTTCGAACTTCGTCTTCCTGAAAGACTTTGGAAGTTCGTACGTGTCCGCTTCACACAGGATATATAAGACCATATAACAAACATCATGGAAAACCACAAAGGAAGGCCTTGTAATAGGGGAGGTTTGATCAAAAAGGTTCATTGGCTTGATAGCGGCTATCTCTAACCTCCTGGGTAGAGGAGAACCTTCTTGTAGGTTGCATTGCGTTTATAAACCATGATCACCCGGCCCACTCAGTGCAAATTCCGGGGGGAAACACGAATGAAAAAAAAACAAAAAAAACTTTTTTCTGTGATATTACGGTCGCCAGCTAGCCAAACCATTGCCAGACAAAGAGAGAATACCAGAAATAGGATTAGATGCTGTGGCTGGACCAGAACCTGGGTGCCTATTGTCACTCCTGTCCCCCACTGTCGCGTGGCGCCCTCCGCACACGCTCTTTGTCAAACAAAGCCAAGGGTGGTCCCATTCAGTCAGGACAGGGCCCACCCCGAGCCTCGGAAACAAGTGCCCCTCCGAGTATGGGCCTGTCACTCAAAATCTCCGGTCTGTTTTTACAGTTGACAGCCAATTATGATACAAAATGTACCGGAACGATTCGCTGATATGGCTCCGTTGAAAGAATTACAAGATTTACACGTTTTGGAGATACCTGCGCTAAACCAAACAAGTCAGGTACGTTAGAGGCGTTGATTCAGATATGATGGGACCGTTGTTTACCCTCACAACGATGATGTGGATTATCCAGTTACTTATTCCGCCCCCACGTCGAGCGTTTTGCTTGGATTTTTCCCCACACAACAGCCCGGCAGATTACATCGCCCGATAAGTGCAGACAATCAAGTTGAATCAGCGCGATCAATGCGAAATCAAACAAACTCATTCTGGGAAGCCGTAATCCGCTGAACGCCACGCCTTAGCCGATCCCTCTGCACGCGGCTTTAGTGGTTCTTCCCTCTTCAACCTGGCGCAAATCCGAAGCACCTGCCCCGAGATCCGTGAGCGCACAAATCCGGATCTCGCGCTCTTTGCGTCATCTCTGCCTGTACAGTACTGTACACACAGTGGCCGTTCAATCTACATCATCTCTTTTCCCTTTTTTCAGAAAGGACACAATGTTCCAACCTATATACGACTCATCATTAGCGGGCTGAGTCAGAACTGACAGTGGCAGCTTTTAATCTCCAAGCAGATCTTTTGGTGGGGGTAAGACAGTATCAAATTGGCCAGTCTGTAACAATTTCCTGGTAGCGACAAAAAAGGGCCATATATAAAAAGCAAACGATCTTCCACCATCAACCTCTGCTTGGAGAGTAGCAGCTTTGAGCTTTGAGAGAGGATTGCATTGTTGCGCGGTAGACAAGCGCTGCCACGTTGCCAAAATACGTGAAATTTTTCGGGTATACTAGATAGAGCTGTTGTACGACACGACGTATGACTTTACCTTTCTCAGATCATTAGACGAATGTGTGTGTACTAGGGGAGGGGGTAAGCGTCTACCTGCTGTACATGATAAGAAGATTATGTTTTCGTCCAGCCGGTCAGTCTGAAGGCCGTACAGGTCGATGACCTGCGTTCTCCTCCCACCTTTTGAGAAAACATGCGTCGATCGATAATTAAACCGCAGGTTGCTGACCAGATGGTTATAAGTTAGAGAGAACGCAAACAGAATCACATGAGCGGCATTATCACATCGTGTGACTAAGAAAGATATTTACAGACGACAGCCTCGCAAACAGCGATTTTTGTAGGCCCTGGATGAAGTCTGGAATGGATAACCTCACCTGACTGGACTGGGGACCGAAGCTAAAATGTCTTCCTACTCTCGAACAGGAGGCTGTTTTGGCCTTAATCGAATTTTTGTTCATCGGATTGGTTTACAAAGCAGGTGACCTTATTAAAAGATTTAATGGTTTTCTGGGGGAAGGGCGGGGCGGAAATTAAAAGATTTGTACTAATCTCCAAGCAGATGTAAGGACCCGGCTCGGTCTCAATTGTTTTACGTGTGTTTTTGCAACATTTAGTACGTGTTCCTAGTACATGTATCATACTGTTTGCCCCCTCAGAGTGAATCACTTTGAGACTGAGCGGGATCCTTACATCTGCTTGACTTGGAGATTTACGTTCTCTGAGTGTAGATCTAAATCCATTCGTTGCGCCTTCTTTTCCCCGCCCTTGCTTGTCAGTCTCCTCTCCACCGGCGCTGCTGATTGCTGCTAATGATCCAGGGCCGTGACTGAACAATGTTCCACCAGATCGTGCAGCTAACAAGTTACCTTCTAGCAGATGTGTGGCCTCAGCTCATTTTGTTCCACGTCTTCATAACCATTTTGCATGTTCGCCTCGCGATCGCCCTACCGAACATCCAGGCAGATGTAAAATATATTTTCAGGGTGGGTGGTTGAGATGTCTTTTTGGTGGTCGTTTTTCTCTCTTCACCACCCTCTCGCATATATGCATAGAACATTTAGCTAATCTGCTTGGAAAGTAGCCCAACCGAGAACCGAGCTCACTACATAGAAAGACGCACGAAACGCTACCATAAGTCGTGATGCTTTACTTCAGGCTAACTCAGACTGGCAGCTGATTGTGTCGGCAGTCACGACTTGACCGTGAGGAGGGGCGTTCTTGTCTTTCTTCACAAGGGCAAGGAGTTATCAAGGACTGCGAGGCCTTGCGCTGGCCTTTTGAAATTCATTGCTTTGGATGATACCGTGCTTGCATATGAGGTGTTCTAGCAGACTAGGTCTGCGTTCTTGTACATGTGACTCTGTCACGGTAGTGTCTGTAGACCCAGCGTATAGAGATGACGCGAAAGTTGCCACGCCGCCCAAGTGCATCACCAAAGGCCTGACGTATCTATAAAAATGAGTCTTAAAAATTACGGCAATGTCAAATAACTGCTGACTGTCGTCTTAGCTAGTACACCTTGCGTATGTCGCAAAGGTTGGTATGTACGCGAGAATGAGTTCCGACAATATGTAACCCGAGGAAGGGTACAGGATGCCCTGCACACATACTAGTAGTTCTCACCCACATTCCGTCCATGTAAACCAGTTCTCTGGTGCGACATTAAATTGTTTGAGGAGGCGAATCGTTACACAAAAAAGTGCAATACTAGAAAGACGTACTTAATGTTGCAAAAACGCGTAAAACAATATTATACGAGACTGACCCTGATCCTTCCATCTGCTTACTTCTCGACCCGTCAGCCGAGATTCTGGACAGAGACATTTCCTACGCTCGCGCCATTCCCCACAAGACCTCTAATTCACATTTAGCATGTCTGTGACCGAGCGTGCTGTAAATAAGTGGATCTTGTCGCTGAATTCTCGGTAACTCGACCCGATCGGCCTGACACAATTTCTCCGAAAAAATCCACCCCGAAAATTGGCCCG